ATTATTATTATTAATATTATTATTATATATATTATATTAGTATATTATATTATCATCGCTATAATTAATATTATTAATAACGTTATCAGTAATCTATCACTCTATCGATATACTGAATATCGTGATTAATCCTAACCGCATTAGTAGCGTCAGTCACTTTCTGTCTCCGACCACCGAGGGCCGTTTTCTTCTTCGTCTTTTCATCTTCTGTATATCCTTTTCTTTACCTTAGATTTACGCTCGTTTAACGGAAAGGTCGAGATGATATCAGCCCGGATGTCTCGACCTGCTCGTGAGAATCCTCGGTTGATCCGACCGCGGTGAAGGAGGGTAAACAAAATGGTGGAAAGAGAGGCGTTAGAGATCCGGGAGCAAGGATTATATCGCGGCACACCGCGAGTGTCCAGCGGGAACAAAAGAGCGAATGGAAGCGAGCGGGAACGAGAGGGAACGAGTCCAAGCTTCTATCGAATTGTCACTTCCCTCGCGAGCAAGTTGTGTACTTTGATCTCTCTTGGGCCCCATAGTCCACGGTCTCCTCTCGTTCCGCGGCCTGTCTAGCCTCGTCCTTGCCCCGCCTCGCTTTGCATCCTTCATCGAGCACAGGATACTCGCGCGAACTCGAGCGTCGTTGTCATCCGGGGCAGGTGAAACGTTGCAATATTCCAAAACACTATTTTTTTCTCTTTATTATTATTTGTCTCCTTTTCAAAACGCGAGTGCCTTCTTCTCGCGATAAGATGGGAGGGGAAAGTTGTCTTGAGAGTGAAAGGGAGGAGAGAGCAAGACGCGCGAGAGAAAGAACAGAAAGCAAGGCAGATCGAGAGGAAGAGAGAGAGAGAGAAAAATGGAGTCACGCGCGTGTATATGTATAGGCACACGGACACGCGTATATGAGAGCCGTGTCGCGTTGGTACCAGGTTAGGTGACGAAGCGCGCGAAACGGATCAACAATCAAAGATCATGCTATGCAAATTAAGTGGCTTAAGAACTCCGATTGTCTTCCAATGTTAGAACGTGTAAGTGTGTGCTGCGAGTGGGTCACGTGTGAGTGTGCATGCGTGCGTGTCTGAGCGCGAGTGCACGTCCCGGGCGCAAGAGTATAGAGCCTGGTCTGAGAGGGAGAGATTGGACGAGAGGTGAGAGCATGGGACGAGCAAAAGGAAGAGATAATGAGAGAAAGTGATGCGTTCGCCGAGTGTGTGTAGCATTACGCATGGGAAACGAACGCGTCCAACGTGTGAACGAAAGTGTGTTTAAAGATAAGTTACACGATGTTAGGTATTTTTATAGACGAGCAAATCGTCAGGGCTTTCGATCGTTACGCGTTTCAAGGCGAATATTTACTGTCAGAGATTTACGCCGAGACACGTTTCACGCCTCGTTTTTTCCGAAATCCTGCTCGCGAAGCAAAGGAATCACCGGTCGCGATGGATCTATTTTTCTGACCAGCTTTAGAAGTTAATTTTTTAAGAGTTTTCCTTTTTTAACTGATTCTTGTTTCTTTTCTTCTCTTTGATCCCTAGACGTTTACCTTTTCGTTGATTTTTTGGCTCATTGGACTGAAGGAACTTTAGCTTGTATTTATTTGCTTTCGGAAATCTTTGGTTCCTCCGACGATTTTACGCGTTCCCCCTTTTTTTACGTTTTCGTTTCGATTTTGACTGGTCGAAAGGGGGATGAAGCAGGCAGCAACCGGCGAAACGTGTGTTTATTTTACCGATCTTCGAGAGACAGGACAAAGTAGATTTAAGAGATTCGAACTTTATCACGTCCGGAGAGCCAACCTTTTCCCGCGGGAATTTCTACCAAAAAGGAAAAAAAACTCGGTTAAAAAAAAAAAGAAAAAAAGCAAAAAGAAAAAAAAAAGAAGAATGCTCGATCATTTATGGGTTTTAATGATTTCAAACGAATGGAGTAACGTTTACGTTAAGGGATATATCGATGTGGCTTCCTCGCGGTGCCTTAAAAGCGTGCCTCGATTCACGAGTGAACGACAGAGTGGCTGATGGAAGAAAAAAAAAAGAGAGAGCGAGAGAGGGAGAAAATGTGTGGGAGAGAATGTGTAAAGGAATATCAGTTTCGCGGTATATATACGTTGTTCTTTCCCGTAAAAAAATGTGATATGTAACTATTGCAATAGAAATATTAACTATTATTAAAGAAGAAAAAAGAATATTCTATTATAGAGAGAGGGAGCGTGTGCGGGAGAGACAGAGACAAACATATATGTCGAGCGAAAGTGAGAGTGAGCTAGGGCAACGAGGCGGCGTGTGGACACCGGGAGCGCTGCCATCTCGCGGAGAAGCGTCGAGCTTTCGTGGCCGGGTCGCCAACGTTCGCGGTGTTGCTTTCGAGAAAGTGGAACGGTGCACCGAGAGTATACTACCTCTCGGTGTATTTCTCCATTCCTCTTCTTTTATTTATTTTTCGCTTCTTTCCGTCGAACGTTGAAGAGTCAGCGCGATTGTACTTTCGAGATTTTGAACATCGAAACGGGGGATTCCCCGCGACGAAAAAGCGTTCGCCGTTGTCCGCCTCGCGTCGCCTCAAGCGTGCATGACGAGGTAGGGAGAGAGTATATGCGAGTGCGAAAGAGAGAGCGCGCGCGTGTGTGTGTGAGAGAGAGAGAGAGAGAGAGAGAGAGAAAGAGAGGGGGAGATTAAAAGCAAAACGAAACAAAAAAGAAAGTGCCTAAATGACGTGGTTTTTGAAAATCGAATACATTTTGTATATATGCACACCACACACTTCTTATGCTAAACAAGAAATGTTTTCGTTTAATTTATACTTGAAAGCAAATGTTATAGATTTAGTTTATTATTAATATTATTATATTATTATTA